CTCGCCAAAACCCCTAAAGCCCCGACCTCGGCGTAGGAGGGTTTGCGTTTGAAGTACTATGTGGTCTGTGCGCTAGGGTGTGGAGATATTGTTCGGGGTGTCCGCGAAACAGTGTCGTGATCATCCCCGAAAAAGCTTCGGGGTTGTGTGCGAAAGTACTGTAAATACCGAGTAAAAACGGGGTCGTGTGCACAAGGACTGTAAATAGCGAGGAGAACGCTTCCCCCAACCAATTTCGAGTTTTTTTGGCACACGTTCGAGACACCAAAGCTTAAGACGCCCAGTCCAGAAGTAGGGGTGGCAACTATATAAGAAAGTAGGACATCACGAAAGTACTGTAAATACCGAGCAAAACGGCTCTTGTGGTGATATTGTTGGTTGTGTTTGAGTAACACTGTCGTCATCATCCCCCCCCCCCCCAGAAGCCAGTCCCAAATCAGGAGGCCGAGTTTGCAAACTCGGCAAGTCGATTTTGAGGCTTCTTATGATGATCGTACATGACGAAAGTGCTGTAAATACCGAGTAAAGCGGATGTGCTCTAAAGATGGTTTTGAGCAATTGTAGTTGGTGGGGGGGCGCCTCCTCCTCCTCCTCCTCCTACTACTACTACTACTCGTCCTCGTCGTCGTCGTCGTCGTCAGTCGTCGTTGCAGTTCGTTGGTAGGGTAGTGGCAGTGGTAGTCGTACAGTGGTAGTCGTAGTGGCAGTGGTACTATCAGCAGCTGCAGCAGCAATTGCAGCAGCAGTACTTGCTCGTCGTCGTCCTAGTCGTCATCGCTGTCGTCGAATCCCCCGCAAGATCACGTGTCATCTTCAAGACAGCCTCAATCAGCAGCATCAGCGCAACACAGCATTTTCCCACCTTTCGCATTGGCTACCAGTGGCTCCAAAAGGACATGATTGGACCCGCGACAAAATGCACGGGGTACCAGTGAAACTTCTTACTGTTTGATAAATGCGGTGCGGGTATCGATCTCTAATTTCCAAGCAAAAGTGTCTCTAATCCTACCATACCTTGGAATGCTAAGACAGACCTCGCAGAACCCTACAACCCTTCAAACCTCAGCTCTAACTCTAAACCCGACCGAAAGAAAAATGAAACAACTGTGACATGATGGCCATTCCACATGGACTGGCGCGCAACGTACATCAGCATGATGTGCGAACAGGCCAGCTGGATGAGGGGAAAACATGGAAACCTCGCCGGCGCCGCACACCATGCAGTGGCGGGACATGCGATGTAGGCCGAGGCCATCTGATCTGCACTCTCCGAGACCATGTGCTGCCTCGTAACTTCTTCACTGCACAACTCTCCCATGCATTACAAACATGAAATTCAATTAAGGCCTCCCGCCCCGCACTGCCCGTACTATCACCTAAAAAAGCGTGCCGTACTATTTTGAAAAATTACCCTAATTCAAACAACTACCCGCGTCTGCATGGAAACTTTAAACCTAGCAGTCGCCGAGCAGTGGAAAGTGATGCTCCAGGCGCACTGTTCACTGACATGGTTCTGGCTCCTTCACCCCGTGGTGTCGACGCCTTGCAGCAGCCTGCCTTGCCGCCTTCATCTCCGCGTGCATACGATTCCTCCTTCGGCGAACCTCATGCGGGAGGCAGACGTGGCAGTGCGTGCAATCGTCACCCTTCCTGCAGCCATCTCCTCTTTTTGAAAAGAAAAGGCAAGGAAAGCATCGGCCGTTGTTGTGTTGCTCAACCATGTGCAGTGGAAACGGACCCGAATATGTGTCGACATGTTGCGGCACAAGTTTCAGCTCTGCCCGTTCATCCTTGTTGCCGACTGTCTTTACTTCCCCCCCTGTAGTACGCTCGACATCGATCTTCTCCCAAGTCTGCGGATCCACGTTCGGATCTACATGCGCTGGGTGGGCGACGAGCCCAGGAAGAAGGGGCTCTGCCCAGTGTGGTACAGGGGCCATCGCCTTGCTTTGCATCTCCTCCTTGAGCACCGCAGCGCCCCCGACAGGCTCTGCGAGGTTGGGGTGGAAGATCGGGGTGCCACGAAGAATCGGCTCCCACAAATTCACCGAAGCTCTCCTCTTCCTCCGTCTTCTCCTCGAACTCGAGTACCAAGCTGGGGAGGATGGGCATGGTGCTGCTTCGCAGGTGGCTATCGTCCACCATCACATCTGGGATAACCTCCAAGAA